AGTTATAACAGCGTGTTTATATAATATATATACAATTATTATATACAATTTAAAATCTGATTTTTACTAAATCATTGTCTTAATCGATGATTACATCTTGGAAAATCTTTTTCTTTTTATAGAGAGCAAAGAAGGAATTGCTGTCGATGCTGCTTATGAATCTGGAACAACGACCCTTTGTATTCGGAGACATTGGTAGACAGGTCCTGGCGACTGGCACCAGAAAACGGCCTGAATACTTCATGCAAGCTATTAGTAAGTTGCAAAACTCTTTGCAATTTAATAACACAACAATCCGGTTCTTCCATAACATTCATAAAAAAACTTGCAGATGGAATATCTAAAGATGACATCAACCGAGTAGCGCAACGTTTATTAAAATCACCACCTTGCTTAACAGCATGTGGCGAAGTAACACCGAACGTTCAAATTCAGTTGAACCTCGAAAATATGATACGAGATGCATCGTGTTTCCGCTGTCGAACGAAAATTCTGATCACTAAGATAACTGAATTTTCCAACATTATAACGGGGCTATTAAAAATTGTAATATTAGAAAGAATAGTATTAATGTCGAAGATTTGAATATATAACATACAATATGCAAAATGCTCTTTATGTATGTATTATCTAGATTTTGATAATGTACATTAATTTGAATTGTATTATTTTGGTTACTATACAGGCAGCGTACCAATATTCACTGCCAGTACTGAAAATTTATAGTGTACGTGGCATAGCCTATAGATTTTCAGTACTGGTAGTGAATATCGGAACGCAGCCTGTATAGTAAACAAAATAACACAATACAGATATATTACTACGTTACAATCTAAAATTAACGGACAATCTTTTTGCAGGTTGAAAGTGTTCGATATTGGATCCCCGATGTTAACCAAAGAGTAATATTATTATAAGGCTTCTGATCTTTCACCACGTCTTTGGTTTATAACGTCATAAGCGACAAAACGTCAAGATCCGACACCTCGATAAAATGTAGTTGTGTACAATATGTTGCAACATGCTAATAAAAGTATAGGCTTCATCGGAAATGCACGAATATAAGAAAAACAGGCTAATTAAGAGCCAGGCGCGGTAAACGTTTCGCAAATGTTATTTTTAAATTTTTATACATTTTCAACCTTAGTAAACTGTGTTCCGACTAAATTGTCAGACTTGCAACACAGTTCCGGTTAGAATAATAAGGAGGGAGGGGATTTTACTGCTTCAACTGGAGCTGTGTTGCAAGTCTGATAATTTAGTCGGCGCACAGTTTACTAAGGTAGAAAATATGTAAAGAGTTAAAAATAACATTTACCGCGTCTGGCTCTTAATTAGCCTATTTTTTTATATTTGAGAATCTAATATATTTGTCAGCAATCTTTTTGTGCTCTTTTGATAATGACTTATACAAATCGCTGTATGTGTGTACATGTTTTTATTAACTCTTATAATTTTAAAAATCTCTGATAAGAATGCGTTCAATTTCTCCTGCCCGTCGTTTGTTAAACATTTGTACAGAGATCAGTGCTCCTGCCAAAGAAAGCACAGCGTAATACGAAAAAGATTGTTGTAGTGTATTAACAGTTTCAATATTATTATATTTAATATTGCAATATATCTCTGGTTGCTAACGGCCGTCGATAATGATCCTTGTGAGTCTTTTCGGAATGCCCCATGAGTGTGGCAAGATCCGATACTTCCATATCATTAAGATTTAGTTGTATACAGTATGTTGCAATATGTTTTCGCAACACTGTACCACGTAAAGTATTAAACGTAAAGTATTAAGCACCCACTTTTGCACAACGCATAATGCGTAAGCATAAGGTCTATTTTCTTATGCACATGTGTATGGACCAGTCAATTTTCTTATGCTTACGCATTATGCGTTGTGCAGAAGTGTGTGTCCGGGCCCTTAGACTGAATTGCATTGCATTCGCTTGAGAATTTACGCATTAAAATGCAACCTCTGAGATATTTGTACCTTTGTTTGTTATGCCCAGGCAATCCGAAAACAAGGATTTTTTTGGATATGTTAGATTCCTTTCGATATTTTAAAATCAAATTAATGGATTCAAATAAATCGTTTGATAACAAAACGGGCACCGTACGTCCTAATTTACTTTTTATACAGAATCTGATATATTTGTTAGCAATCTTTTTGTATTCTTTTGATAATGTACATGTTTTTATTAACTCTTTTATAATTTTTAAAATCTTCGATAAGAATGCGTTCAATATCTCCTGCCCGTCGTCTGTTAAACAGTTGTACAGAGATCAGTGCTCCTGCCAAAGAAAGCACAGCGTAATACGAAAAAGATTGTTGTAGTGCATTAAAAGTTTCAACCCGCTTTTCTTCTAAGACACAATTTCACCAACGTCGATTAACTGTAACCTTCGGTTAAACTCACTCTTTGTCTCTAAGGGGGACAATTATAAAGAGACGAAGAGTAAGTTTAATCGAAGGTTACAGTTAATCGACGTTTGTGAAACTGGGCCATAGCGTACATATTTATAATATGAATGATAACTACGTGAATGCTTGTTTTCATGAGTGTTCTATATAGTTGCGCTTTTTCTGTTCTCTTGTTTTATCTCTTTCGTTTTTTTTTTTTTTTACCAAGTTTTAGAATACATATGTAATTTTAAATACAAACAGTGTCACTTTTTACCTCCATGAAATCTTTTCCCATTTTTTATGTTTATGTTGCTATTCAGTTAACTTAAATAATATTTTTACATTAATACTCAAAATGCTGCATTACCAAAATTGCAAATCATTTACTTAAAAAGTCTAATAATGTATAATTAAATTCGTATTTGCTCTATTATCTTTATTTATACATTTTTATGTAAAGCAGACTATGGGTTTTGGTTTAAGTTACATATATTTAAGTAACGCGATGCAAAAAATATATTACAATAAGTTCCGTGCTTGCTTTACAAAAATTATTTTAAAATAAACAGATACACACACACACACACACACACATACACTAGCAGGGTAGGAATATAAATGTTTAATGTATTCTGCAAATATGTGTTAAGACTAGAAGCACATTAATTTTCTAATACACAAAGTAACTAAACTAATCACAAAAATGATGATGATTCCATAACATTTCACAAGATTCTGAAAGCGGAGACACTAATATTGAACTCTCGCTCAACAGAATCTCATGTTTTGTAAATGGATTTTTTCTTAATATATGATAACAGCTAAAGAAATATCTTTGCTATCATGGATGAACAGGATATTTTGCTCTCAGCTTCTGTACCAGTAAAAGTGACATTTAATAATCTAAATTAAAAGCATTATAAATTAGAATTTCACACACAGGAAAATTATAGTAGAAATGTTATCAGCACTACGTACCACTAATAAGCATGCTTCATTAAAGTTTAGTAAACAACAAATAATGTTGAAATTAAAATTTAGTCTTACTGTATAATTTCATGTCTTTTACTGTATTGATGTGTATTGCGCAGACTCAGTGATGTACCATTTGTCAGAGTATTATAATAATCGTTATACTACTGAAATCGGAAAAGGCTAACTATAATTATTGGAACATTGTTAAGAACATTACTATCTGCAATATTAGATTATTAATAATATTAAATGCAGTAAGCACACTTGCAAATAAAAACAGTAATGTATGTAATGTATATTATTACGTAAAAAAAGAAAAAATTTTGCTTTAAATTACTAATACATGTATATGTAATTTACCTCATAATTTGACGAAAGTACGCATTCAATACCACTTTATCTAAAAAACACTTTGCGTAAAAGCAATAATAATAATTAAGGGTTTGAAGTGAGATGACAGCGTGAGATTAGGAAATATGTCATATCAATTAATTTTATACTAGAGGTTATTGAAATATAATGTTTTTTAATACAATTAAAGTAACCTATTTCCTAGATTAGAAATCTGTCATTATATTATGTAACTATTAATTATTAACAGATCAAACACTAGTTAATAATTATACATAATTCTATGACAGATTTTCTAACCTTACGCTTTTACCCTCTTGAATTGTAAATTTTCCGACTAA